TACATTACAACTTTAATCAAAACAATACTATTTCTTCAAACATGGCAAGAAGGCAGAATATATATACATATAAATGTATGTACCTATATGCATTGTGTGTGTGTGTGTGTGTGTGTGTGTGTGTGTGTGTGTGTGTGTGTGTGTGTGTGTGTGTGTGTGTGTGTGTGTGTGTGTGTGTGTGTGTGTGTGTGTGTGTGAGAGTGAGTGAGTGAGTGAGTGAGTGAGTGAGTGAGTGAGTGAGTGAGTGAGAGAGAGAGAGAGAGAGAGAGAGAGAGAGAGAGAGAGAGAGAGAGAGATAGAGAGAGAGAGAGAGAGAGAGAGAGAGAGAGAGAGAGAGAGAGAGAGAGAGCATATGTGCATGTGTTCATGTGTGCGTGTGAGTATACACTTTCAATTTGAAAGATATAATCAGAGGAAATCAATAACTGATACCTTAGTTAACAGTTTGTTACCAGAGTTTCATGCAACTGCAAACAAGCAGAGACAATCTGGTACTTTAGGACAGAATCTGCCTAAACATACCTTGAAGTTCCTTGGAGCAACTGGCCCATCTGTGTCATGTTTCTGGTGGTGCATTTAGTTTTACCATGACTATAAAACACCATTTATACACATCCATCGGGATAGGCCTACTCCTATGTGTGACACCATCCAATACTAAAGAACTAAATTTTTAGAATTCTGCTCTTAAGACAATTCATAATCCACTAAAATAGGCATGCCCTGCTGGGAATCATTTATACATTACCTGATTGTGAGACACAGATCAAGATTCAAAGACTCACGAATCCACACTTTTGAGATCTATGAGTCCAGTCACAGCGACAACCCTACCCTCGAACCCTCGTGAATCTAGTCTCAAAGCCTCTCGAATCCCGTCCCACAGACCCACCCACAGACACTGCACTCTCAGCCTTCAAACGAGCTTCTTGGATACTTACGGTCCTGGATTTTTTCCTTGACCTCATACACCTTGAGGTTGTTGTAGACAGTCACTTGGAACCCCAGGTTAGTGAAGAGTGCCTGTGCCTGGTCACGGTCACGGTCTGTGCCATTCCTCTCCTGAAATGGGGTCAAGAGTCATTTAATTACTTAAGAAATAAATCGCAATGGAAAACAAAAATGTATACATGATAATAGAAATATAGGAATGAACAATCTGAGCAGGCGCTAATAATATCTTCCACCCCAAAGACCCTGCTCTGTGCTCTCACCCCAAGGCCTGTGTGCTGGTCGAAGTGGCGGTGGTTGAAGATGACGCAGTGGCCACGCTGCTTGTGGCTCATGTTGTAGCGCACAGCATCACGGTCGACTGACATTCGTGCAAAACCTTGAGGCATGCCACCCACACCCCTGGGAAGTGAACAAGAGGTAAGAAAAAGCAAAATGCATTTCATCATCTGTGTAAACTGTAGGCAAGCTAATTGAACATTTTATTGAGGTTTCCCTAACCCAACTGGAAATAAAACAAATAGATCGAAATAGCACTTGTGAGACTGTTCATGATGACCAGACTGATGAAGATTATAATGAGGAGGAGAGGATATGGATAAAGGTTTTAATAGCAGTAAAAACAATGATGATGATGATAAAATAATAATAGTAATATCATTATTATAACAACAATCATCATCATAACAACCCTAACACGACATCCAACACTAATAAGAGCGCCGGCTAAAATCAGCTGATCACTCACGTCTCCCCAAGTCCCCCGGCATCGGTCTCATTGATGCCGTTGTCGCCCTCTTGGCCGTTGGTTCCCTTTGGCTCATCGTGTTGGCTTCCTCCATTGATTGTTTCCTCCATTGCAGCTTCTTCTTGCAGTCTGTGAAATGAAAATGAAAAATGTTGTAGGAAAAACGATGTATAAGCAATTATATGTAGCTGCAATGTCAATAACGTTCTTTAACCCCTTCATGACGGGTGACGCCGATAAGTGTGAAAACAAACTGCTTGAAAAGTGGCGTGCCGCTGTACGCAGTGGCAGCGCGCCAAAACGCAGTGCACCGGTGATTTGGCCTGAGGTACCAAACTCACGCGCTCAAAGTCAGCTTTTCTGGCCAGGCCTGGGCAACTATCTGGCAAACTAGGGGAACTAGATCTTGTTACTTGCATGGCAGAGATTGTAAATTATTTGGAGAGATAATATGAATTGTGATCAATGAAATTTGTATATTTTTGTCTGATATGCCATGGTTCAGCAGTGGGATGGGTGTGATTTCATTGAAAAATATCATCAAAATAGGGACCCGAGGATTTTGTAGACTAGGCAGAGGGGAGGCAGATCCCCAAAAAGGGATTTGAGGAGGCAAAGCTGCCTCTATAAACTGGAAGCGAGTGGATACACTGTGCTCTCTCGTATATTACTGATATTTCTCAAAATTTTCCCCCAAAAATTCCCTGATATGTATCATGCCCTCCCCACCTATCAGGACCCATATCATAGCTATGCTTTGTTTGCAAAGGAAATGAGTGCTAGATTCATTCAAAATATGAAGAAAACTATTGGGAAAAATATATTGTTCATCGGTAAGTCAGTGTTTGAGGTCATTTTCAAATATAACTCAGAATCATTACAATCAGTTATACAAAGGTTTTTTATTTCCAGAAAATAACCTTTTTGTCAAACTGTTTACTTCAATGGGATGTAAACTAATGGTTGCTAAGGTGCACATCTGGACCAAATGAAAATTTAATTGCACATGTAAGGTTTCCAAGCAGGTCTATATCTAAGAGCAAAAAATCCTCTGGGTATTTGGTCCGTGCACAGTAATCTTTAATGGAAAAATTCTTTCTTGCAATCATAACCAGCTTTTTCAGTTAATTTTCCAAAAATGACAATCGGGTCTTCCCTGACAATGTTTATATCATCAAATTTGTGTGATGAGAACGAATCTGGTGATATTCTCCATCGGATTCTCCAGCCAACAATCTTGATGTGTTTTGATAAGTCCCAATAGCAGGGGAGGGCATGAAGTAGATCAGGGAAATTACAAGGTAAAACAGGCTGAAATAAGCAAAATAGAGAGCAGAAATGTGTAAACCAAGCACAAAAAACACTTAAAATCGGCTAATGAAACTCTACGGACATCGCCGTCATCTTTGAAAATCTACGGACCGATGCGCCAAATTTCGAAAAACTCTTCGGGAACCAAACCCACCGTTCGGTAAAAATCTACGGGATTTCACATAATCCAGATCCCCTGTGGTAATCGTACAATGCGTCCTGACCAATAAACCAACCTAACCTAACCAACCTAACCTAACCTAACCTAACCTAACCAACCTAACCTAACCTAGCCTAACTTAACCCTGTGGGATTTATACACTACAATCCCCCTGGTCCCCCATGGTATTAAATGCGCCTAGCCAGGGGGCTACACCCCCTGGACCCCCATAGTAATATACCACATACCTTTATAAAGCGAAAACCGAATTTTTCTGCGCTTCCGTCTATGGTCAGAATTGCTTGTTATCTAATCACTTTTTTCGGCATTTGGGGCCCTTGTTGGGCTCAAATATCAGACTTGTGATTGAGAATAATGTCTATTTGTCCTGTATATCCACAATAAAGTTTAAAAAATAACCCGATGTCGACACAGCACTTGAAATGAAACATTTTTCACCAGTATTTCTCAGCCAATGGCGGTGGGTCAACCTGTCAAATCTCCCGGTGAAAATGCGCATTCGCAAAAGGTTATTAGACAGAATAACGTAAATAATTACCAAAAGACGCAAGAGAAGTATAATAAAACTAGAAGAATGCATTACATACATGAATTCAGAGAATCAGACGCTAGTAATGACAAAATAAGCATTCTCACAAGCGTGTAGCAATACATGGACTACTTGCTGGATCGCAGTAATGAGTTACGCGTCACAATTGTTTTGATCTCGCAAGGTAAACATGGAAGGGGACTTAGAAAATGAAGGGTAGAGTTTCTCTCTTCTCTGTCCTGTAACTCCCTTATTTTAAATGTGAGCAGTTTTTGCCATAGATGAAAAGTGTCTTAGTTTTCGTCAAGGTATCCATTCCATACACTTATTTTACTGTACGATTGGTTGACATTGGGGAAAGTTTTCCTTTTACTGTACCTTTGGTTGACATGTTTGGAAAGTTTTCCGCTTTTTCTTTATAAGTTTCAAAGCAGCAGACACTTGTTTTTGTTTCCTGAATCTACACCGTCAACACACACAATTAAAAGTTATTAAGCAATAACAAAGAAGAAGTAAAAAGAAAAAAACAAGGGTTTAAAGAAGAGAAGAAACAGCGAAACACAACAATTGCTCGAACCAAAACCCACTCGCTTCCAATTTTCTTTCGTTTTGGAGAGCAAACAGACGGAAATACATCCTAATTCTGAATAAAACACACGAAAAACAATTCACAGAGTGTCTTTTAGCCGAAACAAAGTCCCCCGTGTCTTACCAGAGCGAGTATTTATTGAAGAAATCAGAAGGAAATCCCTTTGTTGACGCGACACTCTTGTTTACGTTTCCTGAAAACTCGCTTATCTCCCTATCATGTTGTGGATTTATCATTTCTTACAAACCCAATAAACTCCCTTTTCATTGAAATTTCATATGTACTTTCCTCAATATAAATACAAAAAGGTATGCACTAATGCTAAAATACCTGCCATAGGTACGAATAATACTTGAAATACAACATAACGTAACCCTGACTTATCTCTTTTGTTGGACTACTGAGTCATTCAAGTTTTTTTTATATTATTATACTCTATTACACCAATATGTTGATAACACGTTGCAGGAATATATTCTTTGTTGCTGCCTTCTCTCCGCGGGCATCATCATCTACTTTTCTCAGATCTATTTGATTTGATTCCGATAACATTACTTCATCAAAACAACTATAATTTTGTTTCTTGGTGAACAGAACAAAGGACTTTAACGATTTTTTCCAATGCTTTACGTCTGTCTCTTTGTCTGCAAACTCACACTCATATATGGACATACAGACAGACATTCTCGAT